AATTGCTCAACCACGCACAAGATGAATCTCAAAATGAGGTTGGGGTGAATGTTAGTTTTTCTAACATTAGAGGGAGAGATGATTGACAGCTGAAAATTATGAAATGAATTATCTAGATCCTCGTTTTTTTTAAAAATGTGAACTTGAAGTTCAAAAGATAATTCATTTGCATAATGTTGCAAATTAATTGTCAGATGAATTTGTTGGCCCTATGTTATAATTCAGCTGCAAATGCTCCAATGAGAAGTCCTTAAAGGACAGAGTCTATGGTACGTCTGAAGCGTGATAGACCAATCGATTCCATATGAAAAACTTCGTAAGGAAGAAGATGAGCAAATGATCAAGATGGTCATGATAATAAGGCAAGTACTTTAAAAGGAGCACGATGACATAACATTTCATAAAACCTTGGCAAAGGTTCAGGTACCTGAAATGATGAAATATGAAGAGATCTCGATAAATTATATTGTATTGGAATCGAGTTAAAAGATTATCGATGGTATCTTTGATATGAAGTAGCGCTCAATGCTACAGATGATGACGAGGATTTTGAGTTCAAATTTGTTATATAATGTGGACAGATACATGATTGGCCAAATGTAATGCACAATTCAAGTATATTATGTTTCACTTTGAAAAGTGATGTTTTGGACTTATAGTTCATGGATCAAGATATAATGTCAGTGGGGTACAAATACATTATCGTGCGAAAGTATAATCGTAAGATATAAAGTACGGCTTGTGCCTTGGGGCATAAAGGGATTCACAAAAGTCCTAACATTATTAAATGGAGATATATTCTCCTGTGATGGATGCAATGAAGTTTGTTTTAGTCTGACAATAGATGAAATACTTGAATATGTGTAATGAATGTTTTTCATGTCTAGCTAGACGATGAATGTTATATGAAAATCCATGAAAAAATTAAAGCAATTCCATTGAGTACCGTAATGGTTGTGAGATTGCTTAACATAAATAAAGATTAATTCCAATCTCATGAAAATGATTGAAAATAATCATGTATTAGTGCAATGGGTGCACATACAGATTATTGACTATGCATATGCCGGAAACTGTGTGATTTTTCTTTAAAAAGAGATATTCCAGCCACCATGTATGAAGATAATGATGTATGCATAGCTCGATTGAAGGAATGATACATCAAAGGAAACTGGACAAAGTACATTTCACCAAAGTTCTTCTTAACACATGATTTTCAACAAAATGGTGAGATAGAAGTTCAAAAGATTTGTACAAGTGATAATCTTAAAGATTTATTCACTAAGGCATTGCCAACATCAACATTTGAGAAGTTGAGATATAAGATTGGAATGCATCATCTCCGAGATATCAAGTAAAACTTTCATCGGGGAGTGAAATACACGTTGTACTCTTTTCCTTAACCATGATTTTGTCCCAATTGGATTTTTCTAGTAAGGTTTTTAATGAGGCAGCACTTAAAGCGTATTATGAGATGTGTGTACTTTTTTTCCTTCACTAGGCTTTTTTCCACTGGGTTTTTCCTAGTAAGGTTTTAATGAGGCACATTATCTATGGACATCCAAGGGGTAGTGTTATAAATCCATTGAACTAAGTGGATTGTTCATTGAGTTTGTATATAAACTTATACTTATCATATATGTGTATTCCCTAGGTTCTATGAACCTTTTTGGATAAGAATGTATTTATTTATTATGACACTTACTATGGTGACTTTTGGAGTGATTTCTCAACCCATAGATAGGGTTGTTCTTTCACCGTTGTAAAGAGACATAGAGAGACATGAAGACATTTGAATAAGATAATCTCTACATTCTACTCCCCATATATCTTTTGTCTATATTATTATTTGTAGTATATTACTTATATTTTACAACAAAAACTTTATTTTTTAGAGGTCAATTGGGAAACATGTAAGAAATTGTATTATTGTTTATTTAACCATTTTCATTTACTATCTTTAATATTTTAGTAGCTTTAAAGAAATTATCTTAATAAATAAGGTTCTATCACTCTTATAACATGTAAAAAATTAAAAGTAAGTTTGAATCCACATAAAATCACATATACCCACAACCCGCCCCACCCTGCATTTGTTTTTTTTAAAACCCACTTCAACCCACCCCGCATAACCTTAAACCTATCCCATCCCACCCCGCATAGCCTTAAACCCACCCACC